GGTAATAGCTGAGCAAGTGACTCTCTTATTGCTAGATAAAAGGTCAGTCAGTTGCTCTAGTGGTGACAACACCACTAAAACTGAATCTATTACGTCAAAATCTTGCCGTGTAGGCAGCAAGTGGCTTGTTTTCCTGTCATTTCCAAGAACAATGCAAATGGTCTCTATTTGCTCTTTAATCCTTTCTAGCATAGATGATGTCGAAGCCCAGCGAGTAGATACATTACTTTTCAGCTTCTTTAGTGGCACCCCTCTTTGTTGTTGAACATCAGTAAGACCACTGGCTCTTGTCCAGCTAGAAGAAAAAGCAGACACAATCTGGCGACATAAACGAAGAACACATTCAACTCTGATCAGACAAACTCCTCTTTATAGCCAGATCTAAATTATGATCGAAGCAGGATAGCTGTTTGCAATTCAATAATTGGCATGCCAGATTGACATTTGACGCATTGTCAGTTGTAGTGGCAACTTTGTTGCTCTCGTCAAGGTTCCATTGTTTAAGAGTTGACAAAAAGGCATCCTGCAAGTTGACAACAGTGAGGCTTTCAGGCATAAAATGTGCTTGAAGACAATGACTTTGCAAAACCCAGTTATTGTCAATGTAGTGAACTGTATAATTAAGTAGAGATCCATGGTATCAGAAGACCACCGGTCAGTTGTGTGGCTGAACAGTAGAACTTGTGATTTGTCATATTACTCTTCATACTAGCTCATAAATACATCATAAAGAGACGGAATTGCAATTCTACTAAAGTAATCTTTATGTGGTAGTTGATGGCTTGAATCATTTCCCTCAATCAACTTCTGTCAACTTGATACAATGGTACCATAGTTTTAGCCAGAAAATGAGTAACAGCCTTTGTCATTCTCTCTTGTTCTGTAGAACTAGTACTAATCATTTGTGTCTTGGCTAAACATTGTTCCATTGTCTGCTGCTCTGAGTTTCCTTGTTTGCTGCAACTTGCTTTAGATGAACTGGATAAAGTAGGTTTCACCTCAAGGTAGTTCTCAGGGTGTTTCTTTTGAAGGTGAGAGTAAAGGTTACTTGTATATCCCCCACTTAGCTGATACTTTTAAGTGGCAAATCCGGCAAACGGGTACATCACTGCTCTGAGGCTTTCCACTATCGTCTACAACTAGTCCAAAGTATCTCCAACCTTAGATGTTGTGTTTGGCTTGCTAACTAGTCGTGGTTCTGTCTGGTTGACCCAGCATCACTCAAAGTATCATCAACAAAAAAATTGTAACATCAGCCATTTGTAACATGTGGGTTTTTAATAATGATATTTGGTATATGCTATTTTTCTCACAGTATAAAAAAAACAGACTATACGGTATAATTATAGTACCGCCACACCGCTCAGCACTAGTCTGACCTATAATATAATTGAGATCAGGACAATGCCATGTCAATGACTTTGGTCTGCATTGCACCTAAAACAATTAATTGGTCACAGTTTTTTCTATACATAATCGATTGCAATGATTTTTGTATAAATAAATCTCCTCTACTCACTAGCAATCCCTCCAGGCCTCAAAAATTTATCATATGAAGCAAAGGACGAACAGGTTATTTTAGTTCTTGCTGTAATATATTAGCATACAACCATAATACATACATGTCACTGCCTTACATGTATTTGTTACTCTCTCTTGCAATTTAGGAGCATGACCGTCATTGTTATAGCACCATTTAGCTTCTATTTGCTGTCTTTTACACAATAAACATTCCAGCAAAACTTTGCTATGGTGTGCTTCAATAAATAACTTCACATTTTGATGTAAATTTCAAGAAAAGTCAAATGAGAGCCAAACTTGCAACATAAAATACAGCTCATGGTAGTGATGATACCAGTATTGTATGATATACATCTAACAACTAGCACAATACAGTATTAGCTATAACTAAGCAGCAAAAGGGGTCAACACTTACGCAACTGCACTATGTGTAAGCTTTTTCTTTCAATTATTACAAATATTGTAATCGTTTAGCAAAAAAGTCAGGTTTGTTCTACTTTAAAAAACATTTATTTGACTCTTACCTACTTTTATTCACCTTTAAGATATGAGAAGCACTGTTAAAACAGGTTGAAAAAGTCATCAATTATTTATTGCTTTAGTCTTCACAGTATACGATGTTCTAAGTAAAATACTTGATGAACAGTGTAACATCTAAATAGTTACACTCTCAACTCAAATAATGAATAACAAATGAATAAGACTAAATAATCAAATGAGAGATTAAACCGAAACAGGACCGAGCAGACTTTGCTGCTCGGTCCTGTTTCAGTTTAATGCAAACGTCCAGTAAAGCTCAATAGGGTCTACTCGTCTTACAACTTGTATGTAGCATCTTCACTACAAATTCAATTTTATATCTCGAGACAGCGGGACACTTGTGAAGCCTTTCATATGTGCCAACAATTAATTGGCTAGTTACTATGCTACATTATCACGGTCAGAGATACCGCGGCCATTGAGTTGTCCTTATTCAAATAATTTTCATCATTCGAGTTCCAATCTAACCTCTGGGCAGGCATCGCACACCATTACTTCAGGCCCTTGGCCCTTTGCTGATGGCTAAGTTTTTGGTAAACAGTCGGCGCCCCCTCTTATCTTAAACAGAGGTACCTCTCAATTATATCTTAGGAGCCGTCCCACCCGATTATGATTCTCATTAAATCGGAATCCTTGGGCTGTGTTCAATGGCTTGAATCCCACTGCGGTGGGATTTCTTTAACAAATCGTTATTTACATATTTGCCCTCGTCACACACTGAAGCATTACTCATATTCGCATCATCACAACTGATTCCGGCTCTTGCCATCATTATCAATACAGTCCGTTCGGCTACCTTGGTTGATTTCTCTTCTCTTCAGAGTTTCGGGGTGAAACACAACCCACCAATGCGGTTTGTGTCCCATTGGGTTTAATTAACCACTTATATTTTCAGTGTCCGTTAGTCATTCAGGTGAACTTCTATGTAATCTTTCAAAGATAGCTGGTTCCAAGCCTACTTTCCCATTGTCTCTCCTTCTTCCTTACATACTCAACCCATACTTCGTGCCCTTCTGATCTGGGCTGTTCCCCTCTCGACAGTCAACCTTCACACCAACTGTCTGTCACTCTTTCCCTCCGCACATTTTGCCCACATAAGTACTTAGGTACCACCAACCGCAGGTTGGTGGTTGGTCGCTTGTGATGCTTTCATGGTTTGACTGAACACAGAGCAGATATCTGCCCTGGGCCCAATCAATGCCCTACCATGCAGGGGTAATTTATTTTATACAGCAACACACTACTTAAATAGCTTTTGTCGAAAACCAGATATCGCCAAGTTTGATTGGCCTTTGACCACTTACAACAGGTCTTCCAGGATTTTTGCCACAACCACTGGTGCGTCCCTCAATTTTGCCTTGCGACAAGTTTCAGACTGCTCATGATTAGATCACTTGGTTTCAGGTCGTATTTGACTCGTGCCTCACCTGGCTCGCTTTCGCTACACCTCCGTCCATTGACTTAAATTTGCCAAATATTTTACTCATGAAACCCATTATACAAAAGGTACAATGACTACATCTGCTATAATGTGCAATAAATTTCCGTTTTCACCATTCTTTCAGCCTTCCCTCACGGCACTCCCTCTCTCGGTGCATAACTTTTCGTGATGTTGAATGTGTGGTTCACCCTTCTTCAAATTATTCTACTTCCCGAATATGCGGGGGTCTAATGACTAAAACGTAGGTTACAAAGTAAATTACGGGCCTGTTACCCTCTGCGGTTTAACTTACTTTTCCACCTTGCTCCGCTTTCGCTTGCCACTACTCCGGCATCTTGCTTGATTTATCCCTTCTGGTACTAAGATGTTTCAATTCCCAGGAGCTGGGGTCCCCTCGCCCATTTATATTTCAACCCAAACAAGCCGGCTTTTGCCAAATAACAGTTCTGCATTGGCCAGTGAAAATTGCACTGCCATCCATTTCTGTCTTTACTTCTCCTTTCTGCCATTTATTGTCCATTCTTTTCTTACTTAACCTTTGTCTTTCTCCCTCCTCTGGGACAATTGAATTTAAAATAATTGCTGTATTACACTCGTGTTCAATTGAAGCGTCCTCAGAACTCCGCAATCCTGCTAAACTGCAATATCCTGTAACTTCTTGAATAACTTTTTCACGAACACTATGAGGAAATACTCATGTAGCTAAGGTAGCTCTCAGTGAAGGATTGTTCAGGAATTTCAGGAAATATATTTAGTAATGAGTTCACATTAACTGGTACAATAATATACCATGACTGACCATCAAAAACCTTTGGCCTAGGTTAAAGACAAAACGCTACAGGATCTTGTGAAAACTTGGAGACATCAAGCATTTTGACCAAACACAATTGCGATCCAGGTAAAGCATAACACTAGACAGCTTTTGTCTTTCCATGAAAATCCTTAAGATTATTTTTGGTAATGTACTACCAAAAAAGTAGTGCTTGGAGAATAACGTGTAAACTGCTCATTCTTGAGATCAAGCTACTTCTGTCCTCCACAATGAGAAACATGCAACCCAATATTGAAGACCAAATTAGTTATTAAAAAAATACAACTTTTCCCCACATAAGTTTTTTATTCTCTTCCATTACAGCTGCTGACTTCATTTTTAGCACCCAATCCTTGTGCATATGAAGAGATAAACAAGGTAGTTAAAGTGCTATGAAGTTCGCTAAACCTTCATTCAGATCTGTCAAACAAATGAAAAGGCACTCGATTTCACCTACAAATCTAAAAGAGCCCACAAAGCAAGAGGTAAATTGATTTAGGATGGTACTGAGTGCCATTATCTTGTCAAGTCTCCATTACATATCTATACAGCTACTTGCACATTAACGGAGCATCATGTGTTACAATTTATGTTATGTGGGTGGGGATCCCTTTGATGTCAAGGCATAGCAATAACAAAAAATTAATATATGGCTCCAAGTGTAAAGTCAAATTTGTACACACCTTCTTTCAAACTTATGCATTTTTAATATCTCTGCAAAATGCAACAGTAAGTACTCAGCAAAAATACTTTTTCATGCTATGCAGTAACATCAATAGAATACAAAAGCTACACCATACTTAATTGATACTTTATAATCAGTTAGATTAAATTAAAATGGTTTCTTAAATGGTCGAGCAACACCACCAAAACGAAGCTGTCCTGACTCTTTTTGTCCACCAAAACCTCCACCTAAAAAAATTAATCAGTATTTTGGAAAAGCAATTACCAACCATAACGACGAGGTTTCCACCCAGGTAATATTCTTTCATATTCCATTTCTATTATAGCTTCAGATCCATTAATCAAAATACCACACCGCTTCTACAAAAAAATTGAAGACATTACTATATGATAGCATTTTTCCTAACTTCCAATAGGTCTATTGCTTCATATGTATGTTCGTACTCAAGAAATGCATACCGCCTAGACTGTCCAGTCACTGCAAACATATGACAGACAAAACACAAATGCAAAAGATTTATATTTCAGATTAAATTACATTAACTGCCATTTTTATTTATGAATCTGATTCTTACAACCCAAGTTTGTTGCTCCTAAATTGTTTTCAACCACGTGAACTTTATCATTTTCTATTTACAAGTAAAACAATCAAATTGCAATCATCTTAAACTTGACATGTTTATTTGCACTCGAAATGGGTAGTACTTGCATAAACACATAAAAATAGGGCCTACAATGAAATAAGCATACTAAATGCAGCATCAAAATTTAAGCATTCTGCTGAACCATATCATGTCACTAATACATTTACATTCATTTTTTTTATAGAAACAGTAGAAATAATATAGCCCATATACTTTGCCAAAGGCTCCTGCTTTGTTGGGAATTTTATTAATGTGGTACCTTTATTTAGCAGAATTTCGCCCACTTCATAAAAGCTGCCTAAACTTTGCAGCCCTCTTATACTAGAAAAAGGTGTTTTTATGCTTAATGGACTTTTTTGATGACCTTATTTAGAGCAAAGGTCTCCATTTATACAACTGGCATGGCTCTAAATTTTGTCTAAGAGGAAAGTAAAGATTTTTAAAGACTTCTATTTTTGTTTTATCTTCTTCATGTCCTTTCAATTTATTTTGCAAAGTGTATCTTAATACTAAACGACTACTTCAAAACTATTCTACTCTAAAAGGCTATGTGCAAATTTACATCCATCAGCTCATGCTCTAACAAAGCAAAAAGTCATACTATGACTGCTGGACCACGCCAAAAATGTGCATGCTGCCATTTTCTTATCCCCTGTTGAAGGCCTGCTTGCAAATGCAATGAGTTTCTCACTTTGTTCCTTTATCTGATGAGAAATCATAGCACCAACTCAGTATGGCAATGCATCAGATGGCAATGTTAGGGGCTCCTCTGAATCAAAGTGTGTAAAAACTCTGGCAGACATCAGCTGTTTCTTATTTGTAGACCCTATGGGCCACTAACTTTTAGAAGCAATTATAGATACCATATATGAGACATTATTAGTAATCTGCCGTGTCCTAACTGCATTCTTAATGAATAAAATTTGAAATTCTTTTGCTGGACAGCAAAACAAATGGATAGGAGACCAAAAGCAGCCTTTGTAAACAAGTCGCTTCAAGTGCAAATACAGATTTTTCTCAGGAGACATTCTAGGCTTTATTTTTCACTGTTACTGGCATTTATTGCCACTCAGGTAAGCTCTGGGAGCAACAAAGGCCTCTTGCTCCATTTTTCTCCATGTAGCTACACTGTATCTTGCTGTCCAAATCATGTGTGTGGGTGGATACCGTAATGCAATAATTAATTGCAGAAATTAGCACTCAGTAGTGTCTATAAAGTCATTTTCTCTTTTTCCGAAATCCAATTCATATCCTTCTGTAACAAATTGCGTAAAGGTGCCAGCATATCAGACAGTTTTAGGAATAAACTTCCCATAATAGTTTACTGTGGGGCTCCTCTGAATCAAAGTGTACAGAACTCTGGCAAATGTTAGCTGTTTCTTAGTTTATGAAATAAAGTCATTGGCTCTTATCCCTAAATCCATTTCATATCCTTCTTGTAACAACTTGATTAAAGGTGCCAGCATACCAGAAAATTTAGGAATAAACTTCCCATTATAGTTTACTGCACCCAGAAATGATTTCAAATGCTTAATATTGGTAGGAGCAACATTATCCTGTAGTGCCTTCACTTCTACAGACAGGGTAGGATTCCTTAGCAGAGATGATGCCACCTAAGTACTGTATGCTAAGCATCAAGAAAGCTGACATAGCATGACTGGACCAAAATCCAGCTCTTTCAAATAGAGTCAGAGATTGATCAAACTTTGGTGTTCTTGTATGGTTTTCCCAATGACTAGAATGTCATTTATGTACACTGCTACTCTGTGAAGTCCTCTTAGGACACTGTCAATGACCCTTTATAAAATTGCTAGTGTAGATGATATTCCTAATGGCAATCAAGTAAAATGAAACAGATCTTTACCATTTTTGACGCTAATGTATTTCCTTGAATCTTCATCTAAAGGAATCTGTTGAACTGCACTAGTGACATAAAGGTTAGAGAAGTTCTTTCCTCCCTCTAACCATGAAAAGATATCTATCAGTGTTAATGGATATTTATCCAGTTTGGATGTCGCATGGAGAGTATATAGTTTTGTAATCTCCAAAAATTTGGAGAGATTCATTTGTCTTTACTTACCACTGGGACAATGGGAAAATTCTATTGGCTATATTATTCCTTTCCCTTGTAGTCTGTCAAATTCAAGCATTTACTTTGTCTTAAAGTGCGTATTTTGCCTCACAAAATTTGGTGTTGAAATTTGGTGAACATAAATTGATGCTGTGTAGCCTTGTCCAAATCCTAAGTCCTTTTTGAACATCCCTGAGTGATTTTGTAGAATTGTGTGAAGCTCAAAATCCTTTTCTTCAGTTATTTTGTGCAGCAACTTAAATCTTTACTTGTCAGTTCTTTTAAAGTAAACTGGGCCCATTTGCCAGCAATCATTAGCAAAGGTAATTTATTTGTCTCTCCCTTATAGGTCACAGTTACCATAACTGATCCATAAACTTTTTGGAACTCTCACAAATAAGCACGTCTTTAGGTCCTTGTCTCAATCAATTGAGGTGGATTGTCCCTCCAAAGTTAATAATAGGAACTTTTACTTATAAGTGATAATGATGCTCCTGCATCAAATTCCATGAGTAGATCAGCTTAATTTGCATAACTGTCATTACATTTGTCGATTCGAAATTAAAGTAAAGTGATGCTTTAGACTGTTCTTCATCTTACATCTCTCGCATGCCACTTTGTAAATATTCTGTAATTTTTCTCTCTGAATGTAGAGCAACATACTCTAGCTATAATGTCCTTTCTTCTTTACATCTAAACAATATGCGTCACTCAAAAGGTAATTCTTTTAAACATGATAAGTGTGCTTATCTGTTTCTGTAGTGTGCAATTTCCAGCTTACTTTTCTTTGATGTTAGCAGCAATTCATGGTCAGTACCCTTTTGTTTGCTTAAAAAGATCTTGAAAATCTCAAATTGCTGTCTCTGCTGGCAGACAGAAGCTTTCTTAAATGTGAAGTCAGGCTAATCAAGTAGACGTTGCTAGATCCCACTGTCTCACACTCCACACACAAGCCTATCTCTTAGCATGTCCTTCAAAACACCTGTTTTCCCCTCTTTTTGATTTCCCATAATAAAATTATATCACTGCACTATAAAGAATGCTAAAGGTTGGCAACAATATCTCTGATTAATTGGTACATGGATGCACTAAACACACAGAGGAGTATTACCCTTTGCTTTTCTGCTATCTCAAGATCATTGGCTAGAAATTATTCCTTCAATCTTTCTGTACAGGCAGTCCAAGTCTCTATAGCAGAATTAAAGATCACTGAGTGGTCATTGTTTTTTACCCTCATCACCATCTGTTGTATTTGTACTACTTTTAATAATCAGAACTAGTAATAACTGTGACAAACAATGACAATTGATAACTTGGTAACTGACTGACTGAGGAACTAAATTGCAAGCACATTAAATGTGTATTATGTATCATACTAAACAGGTCTATACACAAAAAATTAACCTGACCACATCAAAGGATGATGTCATAATTATGGTAATTATATACACATGTATATGTGTATTACATATCATTTTAAACAGGTCTATATACAGAAATACATACCTGAGATGGGTGTAAGTATGTGATATAGCCTGAGGGCTGCAGACCTAAAGGCTATATTACATCCAAAGACCCCCACAAAAGTTCTATACCTTTTGTATATTGACCGTTTGTTAAATAAGATCATATTGATGACAGCATTTCTGAATAGCAGGTAAATAAAAAAATATAAGCATAACTGTGTAGAAATATTCCTACTAGACGAACGAAGAACATTAAAGGGGCGAGCCTAAGCAAGTCACATTGCATTATTTATGAGATAGTATACATTCCATTAGCTAGTCACCTGATCAGTTATGAAATCTCTGCAACAATTATTATTATTATTATTATTATTATTATTATTATTATTATTATTATTATTATTATTATGAACTTAACAATATAAGGCAAATAGACGAAGAGACAAGAGACAAAGGACAGAGAATACTAATGGACAGAAACAACATGTGCTGCAGCCACAAAATGAATAAATGAAATGGATATAGCAAGCATTAAAGATCTATTAGAAGCAGTCACTGAACAATTTGTACTTTGAAGTTTGTAATTCCACTTTGTTAACTTCCTTGCTGCTAGAGATGACTCAGTCACAGCACAGCAGAAATCATTCCATGCAGCTTTCTCATTGCAGCATTCAGCTTATCAGAGTCCTTAATATTAATGAAAAGATTGTATATCTGCTTTCCTAATCTTCCTTGCTGCTAAAGATGTCTTTGAAGATCAGCTTAGTCTTGTCTTGCTGACCATTTGCTTCAAATAAGCTCAAATTTGCCTGCTAGCTGCCATTTTATTCATTGTGACTACACCCGCTTTCAATGAAGATTAGGCTATTTAACTTCAACAATAGTTAGATGATCCTACTGCCAATACAGGCATTGTTTTGCCTTAGTGGGGCGAGCTCGGGCTCAACCCAATAATTGTTTTTGCACCTTGCATGATTAGCTGGCGAATTAATAAGACTTGTAGTGAACTTATGACGTCACATCTCATGCATATTCATGATATCTCTTGATATATATATATATATACCATAGTTCTTCTAAAAATTTGCCATAGTCACTTTTGATAAATAAAAATTTGAAAACAAATAATTAGAGTAAACTAAGCTTTTATGGCCAAATAGCAATTATGACGAAAAAGGAGGCACAAAGATGCATGTTTGGACAAGGTATAAGTCTGTCGAGGCTTCTTTGTTGCTTGACTAATACATCTCTGAATCTTGAACTTAGGCCTACTAATGGCAGTCATCTGTCCGGTGGAGTGCTGCTCAAGGTATCACTGTGAGTTAGACAT